CTTATTAGTCATCATAAATTGCTATATTTAAAGAGAAAAAGAATTAAGAAAACTGTTAGTAAATGAAACCTGAAAATTCTACTCTGTTAGGATGAAGTGGCATTTTTCCTAAACAAAATAATTTAAAGTTACCCTTTAAATTTTCCTTCAGAACACCAGTTAAAATCTTTCAATTTTGTATGAGTGTATCAGGATGAGAAAAATTTTACATTACAATGATTCTCAAATATTACTAGTAAAGATAGCCTTTATGCTATTATTGCAAGAAAATCAAGAAATGTATCAAAACACAAAAAATGAAAATTATACCTAAACAGAGAAAACTGATTAGATAAGAAATAATAATACTGGCAAGCAGTAGGTTACAATTTTTAACAAAGACCAAAAGTCCTCCTCTATAACACATGTAGTATTCATGTTTTAAATTTTTTAAAGAACAGATAAAACTATACAGATTGTGAGAGATTTTGAAAACAACATGGAAGACATCAATACCAGGTACACTTTGGGTCAAACAAATCTTACAAAGGCCTATTTCTGCAAACTAAAAGAGTTCAACAAATAGTCATTAGCATTTCTGGGACTCTCTAGAATAATCAAAAGTACCTTTCTTAGCTCTTTAACATTAAGTTTCTCGTCCTCTTCTCATAACATTTTGTAAAAAGGATGGACACTCTCTAGGCTTCAACCTGTCATCCCCCATTTCCTTGGCTATCTCCTGCTTAACTAAAAACAAATCAAACTCCTTTTCTTTCTTTTGTGGCTTTCCATACTTTTGTATCCACCTTTACAAATGTTAGCCTTGTTTAAGTAGCCAACTTCCTTCTTCCCTCATTCAAAAATCCATCTTAAATCTGACGTTTATTTTTTGGCAACTCATAAGTGAATTTAAATTTTCATCCCACCCCATCAGCACACATTATACTTCCACTTCACATCACCTTTTCAGTTTCTAATAAAAAAAATGAAGATAGCTTAAGGGAAAATAATAATAATCATACAGTGCTTTAAAAGTTGCAAAGCAATTTACATATAGTCTCTCATTTGATCCTTACAACAATCCTGTAAGAATAAGAATAGCTAACATTTCTATAGTGCTTACTATGTGCCAGGCACTGTACAAAGTGCTTTACAAATATTTCATTTGATTCTTACAACAAGCCTGGCAGTAGGTGCTATTATCATCGCCATTACACGGATGAAGAAACTGAAGAAAACAGAGGTTAACTGACTTGTCCAGGGTGATACAGCGAGTGTCTGAGGTTGGATATGAACCCAGATCTTCCTGACTCCAAACCCAGCTCTTTATCCATGGTACCCTCTAGCTGCCCCAGAAACGTACTATTATTACTCATTTTACTGATTAAGAAACAGAGACTCATAAAGGTTATTTCCCCAAGCTCAAATAGATACTGTCTGAAGTAAAATTCAAACTCAAATCTTCCTGACTCCATGGTTTCTATCCACTTTGTCAGCCAGTTGTCTCTAAGAGGCACACAAATTAAAACACTAATTGTGGTTTTACAGCCTCCATTTTTCTAAGTATTTTATTTAATACTCTACAGGGTAGTGATTTGCAACAACTTTTTTTTCACGTTATTGGTTTACACTGTTTAGCTTATTTGAAAAGAGTTTCCTCAAAACAATTTGGTACTAATTTTAAAAATAGATCAATCAGTGGAACAGATTAATTACACAAGATACAGAATCAAAGGAATCTAGTAAGTTAGTGCTCAACAAATACAAAGTATCCATCACAGTTACTTGAATAAGGATTCACTTATTTAACAAAAACTGCTGGGAAAACTGGGTACCACAGTGTGGAAGAAATTAGATTTAGACCAACAGTTCATAACCGATACCAATAAAAGCTCCAAAAAGATTTATGACAGATATAAAAGGTCACATCATGAACAATTTAGAGAAATATGGAAAAAATTACCTATCAAACCTATCGATAAAAGTCTATGATCAAATAAGAAATAAAGAGAATCACAGAAGATAAAATGGATAATTTTGATTACATAAAATTTAAAAGTTTTTGCACAAACACATCCAATAAAACTAAGAATAAAAGAGAATTAACCGAAAAAGAATCTTTGCAGCAAGTTTCTCTGACATAGGTCTCATTTCCAAGATCTATAAGGAGCTGATTCAAATTTATAAAACCAAGAGCCATTCCCCAATTGAGAAACTGTCTAAAGATGTGAACAAGAAGTTCTCAAGGAAAGAAAGCCAGGCTATTTACAGACATAGGAAAAAATGCTCTATATCACTAATAATTTAAGAAATACAAATTAAAGCAATTCTGAGATATCACTTCACACCTATCAGATTGGCAAAGCTGACAAAAAAGAAAATGACATTTATTGGAGGGCCTGCGGGAAAGCCGGCACACCAACACACTGCTGGTGCAGCTGTAAACAGATCCAACTATCCTGGAAATCAAGTGAATAGAACAGAACCACAACAATGTATACTGTCAGCATTATATAAGAACTAGCAATTTTGAAGATTTGTGTAAACTGATAAAGAATGAATTAGGAGAAATATAACAATTTATACAATAACAGCAACATTATAAAACAAAAAACTTTGATAGCTATAATGAAATGACCATCCAGTATTCCAGAGTACGAATGATAAAACATGCTATCTACCTCCTGACAGAGATGGCATTTGATTCAAAGTGCAGAAGCAGATATATTTTTTTGAAAGTGGTCAATGGGGGAATTTGTCCTTACTATGCATATTTATTACAAAGGATTGCTTTTTTCTTTTTTCCCCAATGCAGTAGGGGGCACTAGAAGGATATAAAATAAATTTGTTAATTAAAATAATAAAATTAACTTTAAATAGTGAGAATTAGTAGTTAAGAGCTTAATTTAAGTTTAATAGCTTAAAACTTCAATAAGACTTTTGAAAAACTCTGTATTTATATTCAAGATAAGGGAAGAGAGTCAAACAGGAGGCCCCAGGCCCTAATTAAGTCCACTGACACTCCAGAGTACAGCCTGAAGAGATTAAAATATAATTCCTGTTTGATTTTAATGTGCAATAAAAATATATACAAAGAAGTATGGTTTTTTTAAGTCACCATGACCCCACAAGAACCTTCATGTATGGTTTAGTGACCCTTGTTTCTTTTGAGCTTGACATCCTTGTTCTAAGTGATTCTTATGTATCATTATCTTGAACAGCTGATGACTTACAAAAGTAGGATGAGAGAAATGTAAGATGCTGCCCTAAGGCCTTAACAGAAGTTTCTCTTAACATAGTTAAACTCTTCCCCTTTGAAACAGATATTATTTCAAACTGCAGGTGTTTTGTTCTATTCAGAGGAATAAGCTCATATGATATAATCTTCACACCCCTTGAATTGTTGACTATCAAAGGCAATGAAGAAGGCATCACTCACATCCAATGTTTTCATGGAGAAGGAAAGCAGGAAGGCACCATTACCAATGGAATTTTTTAAAAAGGTGAGTCATGTGGTAGTATAGTATAGTTTAGTCCTGCCCCATCCTCAACTCCACCGACCTTTATCCATGGGGTTTTCTTGGCAAAGATACTGAAGTGGTTTGCCACTTCCTTCTCCTGTGACTTGACCAAGGTCAAACAGTTAGGAAATCTGTGAGGCTGGATTTGAACTCTGATCTTCCTGATTCTAAGCCCACCTCTCTATCCATTGCCCCATCTGCCTCCAAGCACTCAACCTCTCTACAGGTAAAGTGAGGGACTGGACCAGATAAGAAAGATCCCTTTCAGTCCTAAACCTAGGATCTATGTTTTGGGCCATAAAGAGCATTTACAATCTAAACTTCCCTTTTCAAAGAAGCTGAGCCCCCTCCCCCCCAAAAAAGAACTTCAAGTTCACACAAAGTTCAGAGGAAGTATTCCAACACAGGTTGGAATCTCTTACCGTAAACCCAATGGCCTTTCTACCAGATTCTCCTCTCCTCCTACCCTCTTGTTTCTCTTCTCCTGCCCAGTTCCTCCTCCTGGCCTATTTCTCTTCTTTGCCCTCCTCCTCTTCCTCCCGCTGTTCCTCCTGCTTTCCCCTTCCTCCTCTCTTCTTCCTACCCTGCCCCTCCTCCTCTCTTCCTTATGCCCTGCTCCTCCTCCTCTCTTCTTTATGCCCTGCCCCTTCCTCCTCTCTTCCTCCCGCCCTGCTCCTCCTCTTCCTCCTCTCTTCCTCCTGCCCTGCTCCTCCTCTTCCTCCTCCCCTTCTCTCTTCCTCCTGCCTCGCTCCTCCTCTCTTCCTTCTGCCCCGCTTCTCCTCCCCCTCCTCCTCTCCTCCTTCTCCCCTGCTCCTCCTCTTCCTCCTCTTTCGGCCCTGCCCCTTCTTCTTCCTCCTGCCCTGCTCCTCCTCTTCCTCCTCTCTTCCTCCCCTTCTCCTCTCTTCCTCCTGCCTCGCTTTTCCTCTTCTCCTCCTCCTCCTCTCTTCCTTCTGCCCCGCCCCTTCTCCTTCCTCCCCTCCTCCTCCTCCTCTCTGTCCCTCTTCCTCCAGTCCTCCACAGGAACCCCGGGTAAGACCACTCCGGAAGCAGTGGCAGCTCGGTGACCACCACCTGTAACCCTCCATCAGCAATGACAGCCCTGAAGTCCCCACACTTCCAGGGTGCGCCTGCACGGCCTCCCTTCCCGGGCCCCCCCCCTCGAGCACTTACCACGGCGCCCGCCCCTTGAGGGCCGTTTGGGGCTGGATCCGCCATGAGGGAGAAGCACTCGAGAGGGAGACCCTGCGGCGGAAGAGAGGAGAGTGATGGGGCCGGAGGCGGCCAGGGCAGGCCCGCTCCTTCCGACTCAGAACCCCCCCACCGGCCCCGCCCGCGACTGCCCCCGCGCCCCCTTCCCCCGGCGGCTGCCCCGCCCCCTCAGGCGCCTCCCGCCCCCGCGGCCCCCGCGGCCCCCGCGGTCCAGGGGATCCAGGCCGAAGGGTCTCCCAAGAGCCCAGGCCCCGGCGGAAATACCTGCTCCGCGCCCACTGTCAGGTTCGTGCGCACGGCGGGATGCGGGGCGGCGAAGGTGGCTCCGAGTGCCCAGGGAGGCCCGCTCTCCGCTCCGGCCAGCCGGCAGCACCTCCAACCTCCGCAGCCGCAGAACCTCGGGGACCCGGAAGTGGTTCCATTACTTCCGGGGATGGGTTTTCGGGGCGAGGCGATCCCGGAGGCATGCCCGGAAGCGTAGTTTGCGCTTTGGACCCGCTGCTGGGGAGCTCCGGGGGGAGGGTGAAGGTTAGGGTTAAATTCTGGGCTGCAGGCGGGATTTGCCTACCTCGACAAACTGATTCCCCCTTAGCGCCTCTCCGTCCCGGAAACGGATCTTGGGCTCAAACATCTAGAGCGGGTAGAGGTCGTGTTACAGATAAGGAAATTGAAGCCGAGAGGCGGAGTGAGTGTCCACAGGTACACCATTGGCAGTGAGGATTTGAACTCACGTCCTCCGATTCTAAATCCTTCGCTTTTTTCCCCACTGTTCCCCACTGCTTTCCTCAACGGTTCTGTCCTAACTTGAACCAAGTTACGGCAGACCTATCCTGGCCGCCAACGCGAGGTGTGGGAAAGCAGGCCCTGCCAGAGAAATGGGAGTGCCCAGCGGTCCGGGTGGTGGGTCCGGGTGTTTGCATAAGGGGCACAGACCAGTTTCACAGTCTGCCCGTTTTTCCATTGCCCTCCTAGCAGACCCCAGAAATCTTAAGATAGAAGAATAAAATTTAAGTGCTGGAGGGATCTTTGGAGGTCATGTAGGCAAATTCTTTGTTTTACAGATGTGAAGACTGAGGCCGGGAGAGCCTCAGAGATTTACCCATGGTCATTCAGGTAATAAGTACCAGAGGTGGGACTAAGCCCAGACCCTCTGACTCCAACACCTTTCTGGGAGGCACTGCTGATGCTTGAACTGGGCATCAGAACTGTGCATTGATCCTGGCTCTCAGAACCAGCTGTGCTGGGTTATTTCCCCATTTGTAACATAAGGAAGGATGACTTTTAAGTTTCTCTTATAATTCTAAAATGTCTGACAAAACATTTGTAGCAGAGCTGATGATGATCTCTTGTGTGTGCCAGGGTTATGGGTTCTTGCCAACCTCACTTGCTGGGCATTCCTTTTCTTTCTCTGCTTCACTTGCTTACTCAGGATCATAGGATTTAAGAATGGAAGGAAGCACCGGGATTTCCATTCTATAGATGAGTCCCAGAAAAATGAAGTGACTCCTTGTTCTACTCTCGTGTGTGACTAATCAGCCAGTCCGTCAACAAGTATTTATTTTGTGCCAGATACTCTGCTCAGTGCTGGAGATATTAATACAATGAATGAAACAACTATTCACAATAAGGGTGCATTCTGGTGGGGGGAGGGGAGTTATGGAGAGACGAGTACATGTAAAAAGATTTAGCATAAATATAAAGTCAACAAATATGATTCTCTATGAAATCGTTAAATACAAGGTAGTTTGGTAGGGAGGGCAATTGGGAGGAAGAGAAAAGGCTTCATGCAGATGGTGTTTGAGCTGCCTCTTACACAAACCCCAATTACGAGAAGAAAGGCAAGGAAGGAGTGCATTCCAGGCAGTGTCCTGTGCCAAGTAACAGAAGGAAGGGCAGTTGGGTCGGATGACAGAGCGTGAGAGGAGGGGTAATGTGCAGTGAGGCTAGAAAGATTGTTTGGGGCCAGACTGCATAAGGCTCTAAAAAGTATGCAGGGGGGTTTCTATTTTATCCCTTAGATGCAAGAGAAGTCCCTAGAGTTGGTTGAACAGGGGAGTCACATGGTCAAATCTATACTTAAGGAAAATTACTTTGGAAGCTTAGTGGTAGATGGACTGGAGTGGGGTGAGACTTGAGGCAGAAGGACCAATGAGGCTGTCACAGTAATCTAGGTGAGAGGCATCATGGGCCTTAACTGAGGTGGTAGCCTTGGAAAGAAGGAAATAGAGTGAGATAGAAAAGATATGTGAGTAGAAAAAACAAGATTTGGGGACTGATTGGCTGTGTGAGAAGGTGGTAGCAGTAGCCATCAGAGTCGTGGATGAGAGTAGGAAGCAGTTATAGCAGGAGAAGAGAGAGAGTCACCCTAAAGCAGCAGCAACTTTGGGGAGCATTAGCCCCTCACGGCAGAGACAAGTACTGGCTAGGGACTGTGGAAAGGTACTGACCCTCAGAGCCCAACAGAGAGCTACACCTGAGGGGAACTTCATGAGTATCCATGAAAGGAAGAAAGGGATTTCCAAGGGCAAGAATTGGGAGGCACTCCTTTGTCATAAGAGTTTTATATGTATATGCCTTTCCAGGGATATTGTTTGTGCAAGGGGAGAGTGTATCTTCAGTTTGGGGGTAATATTTTGTATCAGCTGTTTTTACTAAACTTTCTTAGTAAATCCCTTTTCTCAAAGGTAATTGATGTTTACAGGCTAACTGTAATTAGGATGTACTCTGATGGGAGCTATAGTACTAGGAACCCCATACCCTCCTGGTTAAAACTTAAGATGTGAGGAGCCAAATGGGGAAGTGGCCCCAGAGAAAGTATAACACATGTAGCAACTGCTTCTCTGGGTAATCAGCTCACCAATGGTCTATAGTTAATAAAACTTTATTAAGCAACTCCTGTGTGTCAGGCACTGTGCTAAGCTCTGGGATTATGAATAAGAAAAAGAAAGTCAGTCCCTACCCTCTAGGAGCTTACAATCTAATGGAAGAAGACCACACACAAAAAGAAACTGAAAAGATGTAGAGAGGAGGAAGGAGGAGAAGATACCTGACTCTGGGCAGAGTGGAAAAGTCAGAGAGAAGTAGCAAAGTAGAAAGACAGTTCCTGCCCTCAAGGAGCTTACAATCTAATGGAGGGAGATAACACAGCAAAAGGAAGCTGAAGGGGTGGGAGTGGTGTGGAGAGAAGATGCCCAACTCAGGACATGTTGAAATGCCCTGAGTCAGAGAAATGCAGCCGAATGAGAAATGAGAAGTGTGAGCAGAGCTTTCTCCTTAAATGGAGGTTTGGATTCATGACCCCACTCTCTAATCAGAGGGAAAGAGAGTGGTAATTAGGCAGAGTACCAGGGCTGGTGAGAGTTTAATGAATGCTGAGGTTTGCGCAGTAATGAGCTTCCTGGGGCTTCATAGTCTCAGAGTAGTGTAGGCAGGTGAGAAATGAAGAGATGATCTCAGCTGAGGTCCTCCTTAAATATCCTTAAGTTCAAGTGGAGATAGTCCTGGAATTAGGCACCGCATCATTAAATTTCAGAAGCCTTTTTCCGTTACCTTGGAAAAGTCACTTCCTTTTTTGGAGGGGTCTAGTTTCCTCCTCTGAAAGAAGGAATTGAACTGCTTGCACCAGAAGTGTCCAATATGCACCTGTGGGCCACATGTGGCCCACAACACTCCCAAGTGTGACCAGAACTATATTAAAATGTAGCTCTTATCTGATTTGAATGTATTGATGTATTAACAAAAAAAAAAAAGAAATGTATGTATGTGGTTTTCAAAGTTAATATGTAGTCCACAGGAATCTTTATGTACAGTTTGGCTGCCCTGTTTCTATTTGACATTGACACCACTGGCCTAGATGACCTATAATATCCTTTCTAGCACTAACATGAATTTGGGGGGGCAGAGGGTTAGTGTCTAGTTATATGGAATTATCAGTAAAAGGGAAGTTACCAAATAGTCTGATTCTCTTGGGGAGGGAGCCTCCCTAGCAATAGCCTTGTGATTTCTTGAACAGGGGAGACCCTGCATGGTAGTGTCTGCCTCTGCATCCAAATTGCTTTTAGTGCAATTGTAGCTTAGCAAAACTACTCACCCTTCCGTAATTACATCCCGATCTCCCCCATCTTTCTGCTTTTTCTTGTTTCCCCCCACACCTGATGTGGATTTCTTCTCCAATGCTAAAATTTTTCAAAAGCGCAAAACAGATGCTGCCTCCCTGTAGAGTCTTCCCTTACTCTTCCAGCTGGGAAAAAAAATCTCTTCATTATTGAATTTCTTATATCACTTTGTTTTGACCTTTCACATGCACCTTTCATATTCTAATTTTTGTTATATAAATTTGTGTGTGGGTGTGTGTGTCTGTAGCATATAGGTCCTGGCTGGGGGGAGGGAGGGGACACAGAATTTGTGAGCTCAGCAATCAACTATAGTCCCATCTTCCACCTCAGTACCTCTATTAATCCCCTGCAAGGTGGCCTGGACAACAGGGACTGTGAGACTCAGCTTTGTATTTCTAGGATCTGGCAGAGAGCACATAGTCAGAGATTTAAAGAGGAGTATTGATGGAAAATGTTAAGAAACTAGAAACAGGAAGAAAGGCAAGAGGGAGAGGACTCCAAATAAAGAGATAAAGTGACTTATTCTTTCTTACCTACTTCAAACAGGAGCTTGCCATGTATACTCTGTCAGAGAGCTGGCCTGCTGTATTATTTGGAGAGAGTCCCTCAAACTCATATCCTTACAATGCTGCAAAGAATAAACATAGTGTCCTAGAAAGAATGCTGGAATGGGAATCAGCAATATCCTCTATGCAAATCCTGATTCTGACTATGGGCAAACAACCTCTCTGAGCTTTGGATTCCTCCTTTGTAGAAACAGGAATAACACTACCTGTAACACCTGCCTACTAGGTTGATGTGAAGATCAGATGAAATCACTAATTAAAGCACTCGGAAAATCATAAAGTACTTTAAAGTGTCTAAAGACATTAGGGAAGGTTATTGCATTCCAAACCTAGTCCTTACACTACCTGGGAACATAAGCAAACTGCTACCATTTGGAAATGATGTGATGCTTTAATTAGAAAATCCTAGAGAATGAATGGAAAAAAAACACTTCATACTGAGAAAATTAATAAGTTCAGCAAAGTAGCAGTATACAAAACAAATCTCCCCTCCCCCAGGCAACAGCATTTCTATATATTACTAGTAAAAATTAAAAGGAAAAAGATGGCCATTCAGTAGATCAGTTAGCATTCATTAGCACCCACTACGCAGTAGACAGATGCTATATCCTGAAGACAGAAAGGCAAAAGAGTCTTTTCCCTCCTGGAGTTTATGGTATGTTAGGGATGCACATCCATGTGTAGAAGATACATAAAAGACTGGTGATACAAGGTAACCTTGAGGGAATGTCAAGGGAAAGCTGAGGGAACCAGGAAAAGCCATTGGTAGAAGTACTTGGCCTTGAAGCAAAACTGATCAGTGAGGAAGCTAGGACAATAGTACAGTAGATAGGAGGGGCTATGCAGAATTCTAGATTCTTAAAATCTAGTCACTGCTTAGATTCTTAAAATCTAGCCACAACTCAGATTCTTAGAATCTAGCTAATAGCTCACTAATGTTCAGACTGCTTAAGAGTCTGCCCAATATAACGGATGTTCTAATAAATCTTGTTTTGGCTGAAAAAAAATTTGTATAAGA